TTCTCTACTGCACTTTTATTTCCTTTGTTGCATTTGGGGAAACTTATTGCTACACTGTGACTGCATTTCTTTTCTAATCTATTTGTATTTTATTATATCTAATTTTATTCTATTTCAGTTGATTTTATTCTAGTTTCATTGCTTATTGTTTTTGAATGTAATGCAAATGCTTTTATTTGCCTCTGTGTTTGAAGTGTGCTATATAAATAAAGATTCAAGATCAAAATCCACTTTTTTCCCCCCATTTTTCATTTCACTTCAGAATGAAGATTTTATCTTGCCATATACAGACAGGGCTGGCATTATATCACTCTTTGCTCTCTGACTGAATCAGCCTGATTATCTCAAAGAAAGTACACCTTACAGCAGCTGTACAACAGATCAGCATAAAAGCTGTGACATCAAGCAAAGACAGGGAATGGACAGTCACATAGTCAGAAGGATACATGTCTCCTCGTAGACCTGGATGGTGGCCATGTCTCCCTCCAGCCTGATAATCTCTCCCACCAGCTCACTGTGGCCGACACGGACCAGCTCATACATGGCTGCTCCCGCCATGGCTGTAGCTGTCACCACTACAAAAACAAACAAAGTTTAACAATCAGACTGAGAAGGCTGAAAAGGCTGAAAAGAAAATGATTTAGTGCAAAGAGTTTGATCGTGATGATAGTGTTTATTCATGTGCGTTAGCCAACCTGGTCCAGAGACTCCATGAACGAATCCAAACTGGCTCTCTCTCTCCTCATCCCGGATCTTGGGCAGCTTGGACGTGTCCATCTTTACAGGTTTATAAGTCTGGGTGGAAGGAGAGAGGAGAGGAGAGGAATAATGTGAATGAGACATCAGTAAACAAAGGAAAGGAGAAGAGAGGCTACCCTGTAACCTCGGTGTCTACGCTGTTATTATTAATACATTGTATTAGCAGCCACGAAGCGGCTGTGGGAAAGAATGCTTTGATTACCGTTGTTACAGTTAATTTCAAATGAGACCACCGGCCTGTTTACGAACTGGGCCAGAATGGAGGATTCAATTTAAAAAATGTAAATACTGACGCAAACATAAAACATTTTGGTAAAAGCAAAGTTAATGACCTGTAACAGTAAGTAATTTTCAACATGATATTTAAACACAAAATTGCTTTTCACAACAGACCAAACCAAATGAATTTTCTAAACATAAAAGGCAGAAAAATTAAAGATATTATTGTAAGAATCCACAATTTCACAGACAGATATCTGCCTGGCACTATGGCGGTACCTTGGTTGTGGCACCTCCTACTTTAACCATAGAAACCGCCAGGAAAATACAGCAACATCACTGCTCACGACTCTATATTTCTCAGCCTTACAGAGCCTGATCTAGGCCTCCCCCCTATTCTCCTTCTCCTCCTTGGCTGCACACACTTCAGCTCTAGTAGTACAGTCAATATGACGCACCAGGCTAACATTAGAGGGGGAATCCCGCAGAGCAGCACGCACCTCTGTTTTCCCCTTCACATATGCACAGACAATATATGTATCTAACACAGCATGATCCTTTTTCATAGAGAGGGAGAAAAGCCTCTGCATCTCTGCATGATTTCCTGCCCCCAATATTCATCCTTTTCTGTCATTTTCAGATCACATATCTGCTAGATATTATCCTAACTCCATTCGGCTACATGTCTGACTAACACAAACACAAGCTGTCATCAGTCGTGACACAGACCCATCCCCACAGAGAGCTGACTGCAGAGGCTCTGCTCACGACCAAGAGCAGACCTATGTGCACTATATACTGCATGCATCAGACACAGTAGAGCCAGTCAACGTGCTCATACTACTTAAATGTGGTATTCCTCATTCCTCTATCTGACAGTCGTATCACACATACAGTACTCTACATCCATGCCCTTATTTTGTCCTTCCCACTGATGTACAGATCTTCCTGTTTACGCTAGGCTGCTTAACCCATCTGTGCAGCAATATAGCAGCTCCACCAACAGGTCAATGCAGGAATTACAAGAATGACACCTAAAAAGGTTTCACTCTTCTTCCAGCAAAGACCAAAACTATACAAAATTACCTTGCAACTGATTGGTAATTATGTGTATTTTATTTTTTTTATTTTTTTATTTTTTTATCTCAGTTTACAGGTATACCTTAACAATTGAAGAATCAATGTGTACCTGATGAAGAGCCTTAAAAGAGCAGCACACAGCAGGAAGATAAGGTCTATTGTTCTAATGATTAATTTACGAGCTCTCTCTCTCTCTCACACACACACACACACACCTCTACCGTCTTGATTAGATCTAATTCTACAAACTAGAATAACATGTAAAGTTTGACAAAAAAAGGCCTTAAATGACTAAAATATTTGATACAAGCCCCTTTACAAGCAGTTAAGGTCAGATTCTCTTGTAATAATCCTGGCTGCTACAACAACAGACATGACACTTGATCATATGATCCCTGGCACATGACTCGCTGGCCTTGTTGTATCAGTCTCTTTAAGGAAGTGGAAAACTAGCATGGTGCAAAACTGGGAAGTACAAATCATGAGTTTGAGTGTGTGTGTGGAAACACTGGAGACATTATCCCCTGACTACAATCCTCCACATAAAATGGGCATGGGGCATACTAAAGATAATTGTACCCTTCATTATTATACTGACATTAGACATTAATGTTGGCTATTATGTGAAGGATGGTAAAGAAAGGTGGGAATAGTCAACTGTTGATAACAAATGTCAAATCAAAAGTGACAGAAAGGGGAAAATATCTTGTAAAGCAGAAAGACAATTATGCTTTACCTGTATTTTCTGTAACTTAAAGCAGCACTTTTTGTCTGTCTGTGCTCCTTACTGGATATCTGAGCCACAGGACGACACTGTAACAACACTGAGAGGATGCATGTACATGTAGGTACTGGTGTCTGTGCAAAAACAGGCTCAGAAATGTGGCACGTAAGTGAGATGATCATGAGATACATCCTGACACACTGATGTTAATTGCAAACTCCTTCAATGCAGGTTAGGTGATCGCATGACACTCAGCTCAGTTATATAGTTTTAATGGAGAAACCCATGGCTAATAGTAGATATTTAATGACATGCTGGCCTGTATATGGTACATAATGAGCAGAGGCTTCGTGTCATTGCTTTAGATGTGATTTTAATGCGGAGTATTAAGTGTGATAGCTTCCCTACAAACTGTACCCGAGCTATCTTAACCTACAGCGCACAAACTCTAAAATCCGGCCGATAAATTATGAATTAACACGCATGCAATAATAAATCCAACTTTGTTTTAACGATTAAAAACAACGTCAGCTACCTCCATACGTTATTCGGTATTATGAAAACGATAGCAACACTGGTCTCTCGGCCTGGCTGAAAAATTGCTGCCTCTACCGTTTTGGCCCAAACGAGAAAAGCTAAATTATTTCATAATAAACACTCAACAAAGTCAGTCTGCAATGTCGAAATTACAACAATGCAACACAGTTAAAGGAGAAAATAGAATAGTTACCGTCTGATTATGAGGTGGCGGTTTACTGTCTTGCTTCGAGAGAGAAAACGATGGTTGCTGCGATGCGTGACAGCAGACGGAGATCAGCTGACTTCATTCACTCGCTGCTCCGTTTTACTGCTGGGCCTCTGCAACAGACGCCATTGTGGCTCCGCCCAGGGACGACTGCAAAGATTTTAAAGTGGTGATCGATCACTCTGGTTAAGCATTCCTCTACAGCAAGAATATAATATAATATAATATAATATAATATAATATAATGTAATTTAATTTTATTTTATTTTATTTAATATAATGTCATTATAATATAGAATAATACCAATAATATGTAATATAATGTAATAAATATAATATTAATGTAAATACATTTTATTTTATTTTATGTTTATATAATGTAGGGAAATATAGTATAATAACAATAATTAAATGTATATAATATAATAACATTATAATATAATGTATATATTTTATTTTTTATTTAATTAATGTAGTATAATAAGTAAATAAACAACATAATATAACTTGTAATT